TACGAAGGCGAGATATCTTGGATTTCTTAGTTTTTCGATGAGCTCTTTCGAACTAGAATAATAAGAACAAAAATAGAATTTTAGCTCCATTCAGTGTGGTCGATATTCACACCGACTGTCTCTTAAATGCCTTTTCTCGAGCCTTTATCAACAATCACATAACAGACAGTAAACTGACTGTTACCTGGCAGTTTTTTAACAGTTATTTGGGTATTAAAACTCACTTTTTTTGGCATACATTTAAAAGGCATTACATGGGTTATTAAATGTCAGTTATGTTTAACCTGGGTACACGTGCCCGGGCACGCGTACGTGCATAATATGTGAGATTGTGTCTTCTGTATCGCGGTCACTGTGATGTATTAAATTTTGTTATTTATTTTCAGTTGTTTAGTTTTATTACTCGTGCCATTTTTACGGATTTTTTCACAGTACTGTATTTTTAATGTTTCTAGAGCAATCTCCAAGGATATAGCAGTACGCAGGACGTACTCCACTACGGCGTTCTAGTCCCTACAAGTTCGGCTGTTGCCTGTATAAACAAGAGTTGTTGCTGTGATTTGTCTGTACAGGCGAGTGGGATAAAAAAAGGCTTGCACTTATTTGATTGAAATATTGTTTAAACGAAATAGTTCGTCGTTCCTTATTTGATAAATGAGTTACACTTTTGACTTAGTTAAGTTGTTGTAATAAGAAATAACACATAATAAGATGATCGGAAAATGTGGAAGTCGAGGTTGTTTAACCTGTGCTGATTTTGTATATGCCGGTCTCTCGTTTTGATTTTCATTCTCGATACTTTATTGATTATTTTATTCACTTTTTATTTTTATCCACGTTTTACACGATTTTTATTACGTTTCTATATCAACATTAGAATTAAACTGCATTATAACATCTTAAGTCGTTACATGCAGTATTATCTATTCATTAGCTAATGGAGCGCCAGAACACGTTAGATCATACAAGAATTTGAAGTTCTGAAATGATCGGTTCTGGTACCTAGCTCATGAACTGCAAATATGTAACTGTTTTAATAAATGTTGGAAAATGTGCACGTTCTTAAAGAAGTATTGCTTTATTTCTGAAATTTTCTTACATTCAGAACCGAGAAATGCAGCATCGCGTAAAAGAGTCAGAATAAGATAGTTTCACTTGAAGTGCCGCTGTAGAACAACAAAAACTGGATCAGTCAGTTTCGAGATCGATTGGTTAGAGAAATGCGCTATCGAATGTGTACTGTCTAAAGAAAAGAAAAAGGTACAACTAAATGCAGTGACTTAAGCATTAACAGATTCACTTTTTCTTCTGTACACACAAATTGTCAGCTAATCTAAATTATGATTAGATATAAAAACCTTTTATACATGGAGCATACACATCTAGACTAAGTTACTCTGCGTTTTCTCATGCTTGACTATTGTGTTTTTATATATGCAGCTTTTGTTCGAGTATAAGATATGGGGGTGTTACTCCAATTGTGATTTTTCTTCCGAAAAGAACAACATTTTTCTGAAGAAAAGTAATAAAAGTATAATACCTTGAATGTTTGGCGTTAATACTTCATTCATCTATTTTATTAGCATATACTCAACAGTCTTGACATAATAATCAAATATGTGGGGCGGTGGACATCATCATCATCATCATCATGGTAACTTTTTATAAGTATTTTTCTAAATGAACTCCCTCACACTCTTTAGATTTTTTAGGAGGCTTTGGTGGAGGATACCCTGGTGGATTCGGCGGTGGCTTTAATGGCGCATATGGAGGTAAATTTTTCTTAATCTGTCTTTATTCTTTCAAATTCTGTTACTATGTTTGACTGAATAGTACAGCGAGCACATCCGGAGTGTTCCTCCTATATTAAAAGCTTTTTAGTAATATGGTTTGAAAGGACATGAAATTATTGAGCCCTATAAATGAACTGTCTAATAAAAAAAAAGGTATCTGATCAAAAGTTTGAATCTAAAACAAAACTTTTTGGTTCAGGCGGATTTGGAGGACCTGGTGGCTTTGGTGGCGGATTCGGAAATCCAGGATTTGGAGGAAGGAACTATTCATCTATTATGGTAGTATATTGAAAGAGTGTTCATTCAGTGTCAAAGATTATTCATAAAGTTGGTATTAGCGACATAAAAACACAATAAACGATCACATGGTTAATAAGCAGTCCAAAGGATTCGGCGGATATCCAGGTGGAGGATTCGGCGGATATCCAGGTGGAGGATTCGGAGGAAATTANCACAATAAACGATCACATGGTTAATAAGCAGTCCAAAGGATTCGGCGGATATCCAGGTGGAGGATTCGGCGGATATCCAGGTGGAGGATTCGGAGGAAATTATGGCGGCGGGTTCGGTGGCCCTGGTGGTTTTGGCGGATACGGATGGTAAAAAGCTTTCATCTTGCATTATGTAAACAACGATCAATAACTAACGAAAGAACTATCATTAAATTGTTTTTCTTTAACATTTTAATTATATTTTGTTCATTATCTGAGAAGAAATCAGAGAAAACTATTCTGTAATCCCACTAAGGTCGGGTTCGGGTTACATTTTTTCATCCCAGGTAGATCGCCACTATCCCTCAGTAAATATAACAACTCGGAGTAGGCATGCAACGATAACGATAATTTACCGGTTTACCGTTGCCGTATTTTACCGGTTATGGTTGCATGTCGAACTCGGAGGAAGCATTATTTTGTCGATATACATTGCTGTTATGAAAACTTCATAAGTTTTCTCCCAACGCTGAAAACTTTAGATCAAAACTAAACATAATATTTATTTTTCAAACAATTACGCATCCTTACTAGTTCAGAGCCTTTCTTACACACTAGAAAGAGAGTTGCTTCATCAAATATGTTGCAATACTTGCCTTTTCGAACAAATCAAAAACTATAACATTATACGACTACGGGTAATTCTTGGGAAACATATCTTGTTTACATCGAGTTTATATCAATCATTGGAAATCTTCGCGATTAGTGCAACTTGACCTCCTGATGATGATATCATGTTAAAACGTTTGAAACAAGTGCGCGATGGCTTCTCACACTTGTGAGAAGTCCATTTTCCGGCTGAATGAACCTTTTGCGGGCATTTTTACTATTTTTTAACGACTTATGTACTCGACATGGGCTATCAGAAAAACAGGTTTTTGGTTTTGATTGAATACCTTCGAAGCAGGCGAAAATCCTGTATTTAAACGGTGTTAAAAACTTCTTTTTTGAAGTATTTCGAGCAAAACTGAAAAATTGTTTTTCTTGTAGCCCAGGTCGATTACTCACTAATATTAGTAACGGTCTTGATTATTCATGCTCTTATTTTATCTATTTTTACTTTGACTAAGTTTGCATTATTTGTTACGAAAAAGAAAAAAAAATTCGACATAAAGCAGCTAACAAGAAAGAGTTGAAATAAATCGTTATACAGTGAAACAAAACAAAAACAAACAAATAAAAAAAAATCGCGACATTATATTGTGCATTTTTGAATATAATTACTCATATTCCCACAATCCGCCTCCTTCAAAAGAACTACACAACTTTGTACAATAAAAATGAAAAAATTTTCTTCCCCATAAAAGAAAAACACATTACATATTTGCAAATAGGTGCGTGCGTGTTTGATGTTAATGTGGATGTATGAATGAATGTATGATCGTACTTTCATTCAAATAACATCATATATCTTGTGTTCTGAATTTAGCTGCTTGCTCTCTAACACGTTTTTCATAATCGACTTTGTCTTGCATATAAATCGCATACCTAAAGAATCGAATACGGATGAATCCTTTATCAAGAGTATAAGAATCTTTTTGAATTCAACTTTTATCGTTTTGCATTAGCATGTAGGGCAACTGAACACAAGTAGACAGTATATTCGAACGTTTTAATGTTACATACAACTTTCTAAAACACCAAGCTATCTTCTAAAACACTCATAGCTTTTTATCTTATATACTTAATTAAGTTTTCTTAGCTATCCACTGAAGTTTTAAAGAGCGAAAGTTAATAGTAAATAAAAATAGTATACGATATAGTAAACTTACGCTTCTGCTTGTGCTGGATCTTTACAGTTTGGTTCATTTAATAATTCTTGTATACCTAATAATATTTGTTTGATGGTTATTGCCGGTCTCCAATCTAGAAACAGAAAAAGAAAACAAAATTGAACTAAAAAAACTCCCAAAACAACTCTTATGAATGTATTCAAGTATATGCACTCAAATTAGTACTTTACATGAGTAATGTTACAAAGTTTAGCAAAAATTACCCTTAATTTAGTGCTAATAAATACCTATTGAATACACATCATAGTACTAATACAAAACTGTTTAACTTCTTTATTAATTATGAGAATTAAATGGCTAGTTAGTAGTCGTGAGTTATACTTATGATGAATATTTATTTTGAAACTTCATATGAGTGCTTGCTTAATAAGTACATAAATTCTAAACTTTTCCCTAGAACTCATCTGTCTTTTGCTGGAACTGATCACCAAAACTTACCTTTTTCTTCGTCTAACAATGACAAACAAACAGTACCAGATGGATAAACATTCTATTAAAAAAGCAATTAGAGTCTATGTGAAGCATATAAATCATTTGCACACGTCTTACCGGATGAAATAACGGTGGCTCAAATTTACATTTTGGAGGAGTAGATGGATAATCGTCCTTAAATAACATTCCTGAAAATAAATACGACAAATATTTTAAATCTTGTAACAGATAATTCTTTTTGAAAAAACTTAACTGTTCGCAAACAGTTTCACTCGTATACCATTATACTTTCAACAAAAATATGATGCCACTAGCTCACTGTGACAAGCACTTTAGTTAGTCTTGATTTATTGAAAATATGCTAGGCTATCAAATGAGAAAAAATTTCATTGAAGCGCCGAAAAGCTTATAACACTACCTTGGGTACGACAGTAATTCTCTATTTTCGCGGTTCCCATGAGGTAATTTTATCACTTGAACGAAAGCTCCAACGCGTTTGGAAACAAATAGTAAACCAGTTAGTCAGTCAGAATGACCAGTCAGTACATTCAAAAAATGTTAAGCAACGTGTTGGAACGAGTCAGACATCTCTCCAACATGTATGAACACGTTCATTTGCACATTCGCCAATTTTGAAAACTAGAAGAGTACGTTGGAGCGTGCACGAATAGCCGAACGTCTTAGAACGGGAAAAAAGTGACAGGAAACTACATTCTAACGTGCTACAACGCGATGATATCGGTCAAATCAACTTGTTCCAACGCGTTTCAGTTAAAATTCTATCTAACTTGATCAATCTTTCTAAACGTGTGGGAACATGCTGTGCAGGGCCGTAGCCAGAAATTTGGTAAGGGGTGGGCATCTACAAAAAAGTTCCATCGTTACTAGTCTGAATTTCCATGTTAAAGCTAGATCGAGCACTTTTTCTTGCGTTTTATCTCCACACGGCATTTATCCCCTATAAATTTGGTATATATTATACATTGAAGTAAAATCTCAAAGGATGGGCACGTGCCCTGTTTGCCTACCCCCTGGCTACGGCCCTGATACTGTACACGTTCTAACACGTTACAGTAGGAAACGAGTTGATTTGACCAATTTAACCGCGTTGTATATCGTTCTGAAATCCCGTTTAGACTTTAACCCTTTCTACCTGTCAGACATTCATTCTCCTATTTCGCCAACTTCATTTCACTTTCGATTAGTTTTCTTTCGATAGACCCCGAGACCAATCAGGCGAAATCTACTTGGTATTGTGCCTCAATACTAGACTGATGGCTTCTTACAAGAAGAGAAAGACTTACAAAATTTTCGGATTTGAAGTATTTTATATTACACGTGGAGCACAACATGCTAAAATGTGCACATATTCCAAATTTTTGAAACTATAAATCACTTTTTAACAAAGTTTTGATCATCTGTTTGCAATAATCAAGCACTCTACGAGAAATTTCATAATCCTACATGGAACTGCATATTGAGTTTTAGTATGATGTAAGATATTCGAAACCTGTGATTAATTCTCTATAAGGTTAGAGGCGACTCCAAAATAGCCCGGAAGAAAAAAACACAATTTAGACGGTGATTCATTGTTTTAACCAAAAATTGATAGAATACGCGTTTGAACGAGTTCTACATTCAAATATATGTAACACGTTCGAACGACTTTGCATTTTAACGAGCTGGAACGCGTGTTAAATGAAATTTTTAAAAAATCACGGGTTCTAATGCATTAGTTTATTCTTGTTTTTCGAACACGTTGGAATGGGTAAAAATTTTGTTTTCAGCGCGTTAGAGCTCGTTATTTCATAAATTTTCCTTCGAACGCATTAGAAGTTTCATTCGGATGACAATTATCTCATGGATTCAATCAGCAACTTCTAATAAACTGAACAATGAAACCAAATACAACGTTTTACTTACGTAATTTAAACAGGCCACCTTCCCATGCTGTACCAGTTTTACCTAGATAAAAAATAATCAAAAGAATTTAGTACAAGATAGTTGTTTTTGTTTTTGAACGGTATACAAACCTGGTATACCCTAAAATATACAAACATAACACGGATGATGAATATTGAATAATACACATAAGAGGTTGAAAGACGAAAGCTTATAGTGACTAGTGATTGTAATTGTTTCTATTCAGGATGAAGAAATCTAATTTTCGGCAATCGATCTCCAGTCAAAACTAAACTTTTAAGCACAGTAAAAAAAAGACGCAAATTTTATTAGATAGTCTCAGAAAAGTTTTATGATGAAGCTTCTTGTCCTAACTCGAAACTCTGATAATGAAGAAGTATCGACTGTTTTTGAACAAACGAGTAATTGCGTAATAAATCAATAACTTACACATTCCCAGTTTAATAAATTCAATGTGCCGTCAGAGTTTTTTGCTGGTCTCTAAGAAGATCGAAACACAAATATATAACATCAAATCAATGGCAAATCTTGTAATCGAATGTCTTACCGCAATGAACCCCTAAAATAGTAAAAGAAAAATTAATCATCTATGGGCCTGTTGTTAAACGCAATGCAATTAAAAAGTGGACATAGAAATGATTGTGCAAAAGAACGAATAACCTACAAACGGATGATCTTTTCTCCAAGCTTTACGTTCTTCCGTTAAACGAGCAGCAGAAATGCCAGCCATTAATCTAAAGTTAAGTTGAAATCAACAGATGAAAGTGAAGAAAACAGATCAGTCAAGGTAATTTAATAGCAGTTGAAGTCTGATAAGCCAAAGAAGTTCGAGAAGAACAACCAGATAAAGAGGTGCTACACCAGGAGACAAGCTCGGAGCTATGTGAATACTTTTATTTTTGTCTCTTTCGAACGTGACGCTAAAAGAATAAAATTTGACTCAGTTTCAACTTAGTTATTCGCTTGACTGTAAGGAAAGGGTCTAGAAAATTAATTTGTTTCTATTTATCTTTCTGTCTGTCCGCAAGACATGGAAAAATGGTCGGAAAATAATTTATGGACTAACCAATCAGAAGAGACAAAAGTGAAAAGCCGTTTGAGAGTACACATTAATGAAGTAATAACAGAGAAAGTAACAAACACAAAGTAAGATTTAATGACTAAATGTGTCAAGTGTACAGCAGTTGAGTGACCGTTTTTTGAGTTGTTTTCTATATGAAATACCCAATGAGCATGTTATCGCTCATTTGAACATTTCAAGGATGTGTTACTGCAAAGGTCGACCGAAGGGAGGCCTACGCGTTCTTTCGCTACTAGAAAAGTGACTGTTTGATATGAGCTACTATTATCGATGAACGATGTTTCACTCGAGTTAAGACACACAACATAAGATTTTCGATACCTTCATGAGGAACTATGGGGACACCTTTCTTGTTTGCGCATATACTTTCTAGAAGATTTAATGTGCATCAAAGATAAGCAAGTCAGAGGCATGACTCGGGCCAGACTCGCACTTTCCTATGATCCGGACTTGAGGCGGAAGACTCGATAAACTAGAAAACCTGACTCAAGTCACTTTCGAGTCAATCATGTGAGCTTTAGATTACTATGACGGTGTTTATTATATTTGTTTATATACCAGAACAGAGGGACAAATTTGAGAATATTCTAAGGAGAACATCGCGTCACATGAAAAATTGAAGATCTAGGAAAGGACAAGACATTCAATAGATAGAAAATAGCTTTTTCTTGGAAAAATGAGTGAGGAAGTTTATTTCTAGAAAATGACGCGGGGTGACTTGACTCAATTTTGATACGACTCGGACATGGACTCGAAATAGCCTGACTCGGACTCGACTCAGACTCGAAAAAGGGCTGACTCAGCCATTTCTAATATGCACTCAGATAAAACAGAAGCCCACAGTCAAGGGCCAAGCGAGTCAGAATGATGAACGTTACTCCTTGTCTATTACAATAGGTGATTCGATACGCCAAGATCAATCATAGAAATAGAAAAAGAATCTCTCAAACTACAGGTGTGTTCGCTAGATCTCTGTTGATTTTTAATATTTTTAAGAGATTAAGCGTTTCTTCCACCGATTATTTGCCTCCCTGATAGTAATAAGAAAACTGAAGATGGCGTCACTGGTAACGCATTCAACTT